CTCTAAACCATCTTAAGTTTTACTCGGTATTTACAGGACTTTCGTCATGTACGATTATCAGAAGAAGCCTCGAAATCGACTTGCCGAGTTTGCAAACTCGGCCTCTTGATTTTGGACTTGCTTCTGGGGGGGGGTGGGGGGGTGGGGGGGGATGCTGACGACAGTGTTACGCAAACACAACCAACGATATCACCACAAGAGCCGTTTTACTCGGTATTGACAGTAATTTCGTGATGTCCTACTGTCTTATATAGTTGCCACCCCTACTCCTGGACTGTGCGTCTTAAACTCTGGTGTCTCGAACGGCGTGCAGCGAAAACTCGAAATTGGTTGGGGGAACCGTTTTCCTCGGTATTTACAGTACTTGTGCACACGACCCCGCTTTTACTCGGTATTTACAGTACTTTTGGCGATGTTGGTGATGAAAGGTGATTAAATGTGTTTGATTTTTCGTGATGTTGATGATGAAATGTGTTTGCTTTTGGTGATGTTGGTGATGAAATGTGTTTGCTCTGTCGTAAGCACACAACCCAGCTTTCACTCGGTATTTACAGTACTTTTGGTGACGTTGGTGATGAAAGGTGATGAAATGTGTTTGCTTTTTGGTGATGTTGGTGATGAAATGTGTTTGCTTTTTTCGTGATGTTGGTGGTGATGATGTTGATGACAATGACGAAGTGTAGTTGGTAGGTGGGGGGTGGCTAGCAGTAGTAGCAGTAGCAGTAGCATTAGCAGTAGCAGTAGCGGTAGCAGTAGCAGTAGCAGTAGCGGTAGCAGTAGCAGTAGCAGTCGAACCAGAAAGTGTAGTAGCAGTAGTAGCCTAAACTGAACCTTAAGCCCGAAACTCTAGACCTGTGTGCGGAGCAAGGGCCACTGCATTAAGCCAATCCCTGAAGCTCGCGGTCGTGAGTAGAACGTGGTAGTGGTAGTGGTAATGGTCGTGGTAGTGGTGGTAGGAGGAGGAGAAGGAGGAGCAAGCCCTAGGTTGGACGACTACGAAGTTTTGACTGTCCTGGATCGCTGCAAGCTGCTGGACTCGCATCCCGGCTTTTTAAAGCCGTTTGGGCAGCTGCGTGCTCCGGCCGTGTCGCGCTAGCAACGAGCAAAGCACGGAACGAGCCAGCGTGTCGTCGCTGAGGAAGCTCACGGCCACCAAGATCAAGTCATTCTTCCGAACTTGGGCTGTAGGCCTGATGAAGCGTCATTAAGAAGCGGGGATTCGATGGTACTGATTAAGCTTGTCAGCTTCACACAGCAGGCTGCAACAAGATCATTGGAGAAAACCTCAACGCAGAGGACATTGTCTCTCAGCTGGAGCTTAAAAATTGCTGCGTTTGCGAGCCTGTCTGTGGGAAAGATCGCCGAGGAAGACGGCATTGGATATGAAGAGCATTTTCGCTGCAATCTGGGTGTAGCATTCGATGGGAGACTTATGGAGCCTTCAGCGGCGCTTTTTTGGGATTTTCTGCTGTTGTGGAGACTAATTAGCACATTCTTCTTCCTTGTGCAGCGAGCACACGGAACGGTTTGGCCCTACTTGATGCGAGGAGTTCGCACCCATCGTGTCTTCCAGCCAGAGTGCGAGCACTGCACGTGTTGAAGGCAAGGCACGAGGATGATGGACTAGCCACTGTCCGCTGAGGTTCACATCGTTGCTACATTGGATCGCAGACATGAAGGCCCGTTTGATCTTGCTGCCGGATGCTTTTTGCAAGCGGCAGCCTATGGGTTTTGCCGGGAGTGTTCGAGAGCCGATGCACAGCTGGTTTGCAAGGGCATTCCTTTGGCCCGCTGTCGAGCACGAGTAATCCGCCTGTCGCACAAGACCCTTGGCTAATTCGGCTACACATCTGCGTAGACAACTTTGCTTGATTCTACCTGTGAGCGATCGTCCGAATCACGATCTGCAGCCGTGCATTTATTGCAGAGGATGGTGGTGGACTCAAGGAGTTCGGTGAAGCGCAGGACGGCTTTCCGAAAGAACTTGCCAAAATGCAAACTCTGCGCACTTTCAGTTTTCTACGATGAGTTCCCTTCTCGCCTCGTCGCAATGCTGCTGATCTGTCCGTCCGATTATGAACTGGACTCTGCAGAAGCAGAGGACAGCAGCACGTCTTGCCTCAGCACGCACCTACAGGTCCATCAGGCCATGATGGAGCACAGAAACTGTATAGCTGGGACGGTTCGATCACGGATCGTACTAAAGCATGCGATGCATGCGACGGCTGACACTTACGACCGCACTCCATCGCGACAACGCGGGAAAGCCCGTGTCACTCCGGTGTCCTACAATCTGGGATTTCCTGTCATTTCGTCCATGCTGTTCCTTGCCTTCCTGGGCTCTCTTGCTGTGCTGGTGCACATCTTGAGCCTCCACCAAGCAGGCCGCGCCGGCGCGGACTTGATGAGAAGAGCCCGAATCCTGTAGGATCCTGCACCTCCGAAGGGTGGGCCGCGAGCCGACTATCGAACTTTTCTCCCGGTTTCTAGTGTTTCCAGCGCAACGTGATGTAAGATGTAGCATGTTCATCATGGGCCAGACATGAGCTTCAAGAAGTTCGAGTCTGCAATGAGTGCATGGTCAAGACCTTGCGCAAGGAACTGTAAGTGATGTATTGCTGTGCAGCATTTTGCAGGCTTGCTCTACTGTTCGATGGGTTCTTGGCAAGCATATAGCACTGGTTGTTGCGCGACATTGATGCTGTCAACTGTTCGGCTGAGTCTTCTGAGGTTCTGCAAAAGAGAAGCAGAATGGATGAGCCCGCAGCTTTTCTGGAACAGTTCGGGTACCCTTTGGCATAGAGTTTTTGACAGTAGTGCACGCAGGAACAAGCGAGTGCGATCGCCGCATTCTTGTGCATCTCGCCTCAGCTGCCGCGATGTCTGCCTCTGGGATCTTTTGGGCCGGTGGTGGCCCAGCTCAGGCGCTGTGGCTTCATGCGCCCTGTGGGCCCCGACTTGCGCTTCGAACGGTCCGTTTGCAAAGTCAAGTGTGGTCGCGTACCTCGCGGCACCGGCTACCGGCTTGGTGTTGCCATTGAGGCGGTTGAGCTGTGGGGCACCACTTCGCCCACGCCACAGTAAGCACCAAACCAGACGCGATTCACATGATTTCTTCCTCGTCGCTATGCGGCTTGTTGCGCGCCGGGTCCACGTAAACACAGTCGCAGGCAAGGATGCGGATTGATTTCGGCACAAGCCTGAAGTGATAGGTCGCTCTTCTTCTTCAGTCGCCAAAGCGGCCCGACGCTTTGCAGGGCCACCGTCATCCTCGACCATCTCCGCATCGTGACGGATATCAAGTGCCTGCCAAAGCTAGGTCGCCGAGTTGGGCACGTTGCACGAGGAGCTAGTATAATAGCCACAGCCGTCAAAGACATCGGCGGGTCTGGGACGGCCACCCCGTACCCTGCGCCGCCGCCCGCGACCTCCAGGGCCATTCGCAGTGCAGAAGGTTACCACCGCACAGTTCCCCTATCAATGTGGAGGCTGTTGAGGTAGTGTCGAGGTGGTCGTCGACATCAACTTCACCTACGCAGTAGTACGCAGCCCCGGACCAGCACAAAAATTCTACCGGAATTCAGTACCACATAATATGCGCTACGGCCCTTATTGCTTCTTAACACGTTGTGAGTGAATCGCTTGCTTGATAGTGCATGCCAGAGATCTGTTCTGGGGGAGTTTAGCGCTTGTGGAGTCGTGCATCTCTTTGTCCCGAGGCACGAGTTTACCAACTTGTGCCATGCATCTTGGATGTACTGAGATCCACGCAACTATGTTGTTTGCAAAAAGAATGAGCATGGCAGGCTTGGATGTCGAGACTGTCATGTGGCCTTATGTGGCCTTGTGTTGCTGCTTTGCTGAGACCACGAATCTCTACAAGCAGGGTGTGTTCTCAGCAGGGGACGCATTCAAGGCCTGGCGTCACCTGGGATCGGGCAAGTCATGGAACCGATTTTCACTTGTGCAGTTGGAACGTGATGAATCGCAGTTTGCACGCAGCTGTTCCCTGAGATCTTCTACCAGACACCCGGGCTCGAAAACCAGCGCATGGCAGCTCGGCGAAGTTCTCTGAGTCGGCATTGCTTGTCGTCCCGAACGTTCTGGATGCTTCCTCTGCCCAAACCGTGCCTCGCGGACTTGTCGTCACCTTTGACATTTGAGTGCTTGGAGGATTTCGCCGGGTTCATGCATGCGATCCAGCAAGTCGGTGAGATGTTGCTTGGCTTTTGCTCGCTCCACAAAGCTACAAGCGCCACAGAGAGTCCTGAGGTTTGGCAAAAGTGATGCCCAATCTGCGGAGATGTTTGCAGCTGCGGTTGGACTCTTGGCGGCAGCAGTGGTTTCTTGAATTGGAGTACAGATGAGTCCACAACCTTCAGACTCAGACTTGTCAATGCTTCGGAGTCTTTTCTCGAGCTGAAGAGCAAAACATTGTCGAAGAGCAAAACACTGCCGTCCTGTGTGTTGGCAAATGGGGTGCGATCTCTCGATTTTGCTTGAAGTTAAAAACAACCAAGGTCGCATGGACACCGATGAGGCGCATTTGGGATGACTTGCTACCTGTATCGAAAGCTTCAGGCGTATACGTCGGGCCGAGAACTCTTTCACATTCTCGCACCAGCAGAGCTTCAGAAGTGTGTGGCTTCGGCACTTGGAAGTACACGTATCTTTTTCACGATCACGACGAATCGGCAACTAATGCCTTCAGGCCTTCAGAGGGAGTAGGTGGCAGACGGTTGAACTTGATGATAGAACAGAACCTCAGCACATGTGCTGTGAGTTTTCGCGAGCCACACAGGAGACTGTCCGGCGCATCAAGCTTCGCATCAAGCACGCAGCATCCGTTCATGGTGAGAACGGCAGCTTGCCCAGCTCGACTCTGCCAGACCTTGCAGGTGCACAGAGACCGATGTAGCTACAGACCTGCAAGCGGAAATTCATGTTCCAGCCAAGGTTGGCGTGAGTTCTTCCACGAGTGCGACCAGGCAGTGTATCCGCCCGCGAGTTAAATTGATGCTGTGGAGTATGGTGCACCCATGGGCAGGATCAATCGGGCTACATGGACATTGATGAGCACCCTGCTGCAATGCGTTGCATGGGGTGCTTCTCTGTCCATCTTGCTTGTTTGGCTAAAGAAGTCAGAGAAACAGACATAGAGACGGAAACTCAGAGAAGCACGAATACCCGGGTGCGGTACGCAAGGCCATGCAACGGGGACCATGCAACATACCAAAATAAACAAGCAAGAGCGAGACAGGAAAGAGAGCGCTGGGGCCGTCCACTCCTGTCACGTTGTCGGCTTCTGCTGTCTGAAATGAAACAAACCGAAGAGTGAGGGGAGTGGACGGTTTCCAGTAAGAGCCTTTACGAAGCCCACCCGATGCCGCCACCCAAGGTGAACCTAGAGCTTGCCATGTTGCGTGTGTACGATTTCATCGGCATCTTCGTCCAGAAATTCTGAGTCAGACATCCGAGGGGTGCATTATATCCAGGAGGCAGCGACTACTGAACCTCATCGACTACTGAACCTCATCAAACTGAGAGAGACGCAGCGAGATCAGGCATGAGCGCAGGCCTCACCTCGAGCTCTCGTTCTCCCTGTCCGCAATGCTGTACTCCCGCACGTTTGGGATGCACCTGCTGATCCACGACGGGGTGATCCAATCGGTTAAGCACATCACAGAGACTTTAATCGTGCTAAATACCCGACAAAACGATTAGCGTGCCAGGGAAGGTACTGTATGGTTGAATGTTTGTCTTGCTGGCAAGACGAAGCATTACGTAACACCTTGACATACTGTACCTGCTCACAATGCGATTTCTGTACCTGAGGTTCCTTGACATGTGCCGCCACAAGCTTCACCTTGACGAGCCTTTGAGTCGTAAGCCGGTCCTCTGCACTTCTTTCGTCTTGTCACCGTGCGTTTCCGCCTTGTGTTTCCCATGTGTCCCAGGACCGAAAAAGCCATCTCCAGCTTCTCTTCGAGCGGCTGGACGAGGAAGCACGACATCTCCTCTTGCGTCTCTTCCATGCCACCTAAGTTTACCCCATCCTGTTTCGAGGCCTCCCTGGCTTTCTGTTTGGGGTTTTCCGTTCCTTTTGGGAAGGAGGCCTTGGCCCTTGGAACTCCCTACGCTCCTCGCTGAAGATTGACAAGCATCGCAGGAAGGCATCAGGTATAAGAATCGGTGGTAAGGTAAGGACTCGTGCTGAAGATGTTACAGTGGCGTGAAAACCAAAGCCTTCACGACTTACCGCACACAACAGTCCTTGAACATCCTTGAACCCGGAAGCACAAATTGTTGGACGAGCAAGCACGGTACATGTTTCTGGACCACATGAGTTGCCCAAGCCAGTGTTACCCGGACAACCAAAAGCCACTTTTTGGGTACCTTAGCTGACAGGCAGCGTTCCTTCCAGGGATTTCATGGTCTCTTTCCCACTTTCGGACCCGGGATCTGCTAGCCCCACGTGGAACAGCGTCTTCCGAACGAAAGCCGCAAAGTCCCCGTGCCAGGATGACTCAGGAGAGCTCTCTATCGACGAGATGATCGCTTTCATGGAGAGGTAGCAGCCGTTGTCAATATGTTTAGAAAGCCGCGTGCTATGGAAACTGCAGCTAGTCATGTACAGTAGAGAGGCGTGATTGACAATCCCGAAGGGAGGTCAAATTTCAGCACAACAAAGTTGTGAAGCTCTAGGCCTGACAAAGCAGGCCATGACGTGTCAAACACGTCCGAAAGAGGCGAATCATAACTCCACACCAAGCCGCTGACGTGGGAGATTCACTGAAGCCTATCATCGATGAAGCGACCTAACTTACATAATGATAGAGAATCCTCTGTACAGGGTACAGGTGCTTGCGCTACCCAACATATGCGCGACGTCCACTGAGTCTGCTAGGGAGGAAGCAGGTGTTGCTATGCCTGCTAAGCCTTGCATTGCTTCGAAGGGTTAAGGCTACTTCAGCTGGCTTTTCTTTGGACGTAGAACTCTGTCGAATTGAAGATGAGCTCTTGAGTCACCAATGCCCCTCAACCCCTGACCCGTCGGACTTCACTCGAGGAATTGATAGAACGAAGACATGTGCCCATCTTCTGTCGCACAAAGCTTGCAGTTGCAAGTGACGCTGCATCGTAAAAATCGGGTGCGCTTGGACAAACCGTTGTTGCACCTAGCACCTGTAAACGTGGTCACGAAGGCAGCATATGGCACTGTGCACAGCAGTCCGTTTTGCATCTTTTGCCCCTGAGGTGGAGAATGGCACGAGCTCCAGGTCCAGGGTGGCTCAGGCAGTGGGCAGTTCCACTGGGTCTCGGCCTGTCCCTTTCAGAGTGCAGGTGTTGGAGAGGGCCACCGGCCTTCAGGGAAGCCACCTTTCAGGCCGAGACAGTGGAGATATTGGTTTTTAGGTCCTAGAACGCGACGGATCCTTTCAGGTCTGGAGTCCCTGAAAGTCATCATTCTGGCTGCTGCTTCAGACACGGACACGTTTCCTCTCGCGACTCGCACTCCTGCATCAGCCCTTTTCGGTCCTCTCCAAGGTCAGTGCGCTCAGAAGGGAGCTGCGACCTCGGATTTGCCTGTGCACCCACAGTCACCAAAGAGGCCGTGAGAGATGTCTCGAAAAGCTTCCGTTTCTTCTTGAGCCCATGTGTGTAGAAAGGTTCGTTTCTTCATTTCACGCTTTTTGTCGACTTCTCGTCTTGTCGCGTCTTCTGAGACCGAGGCTTGGCGTGAACCTTGCCGCAGGCACAGCATGAGAGTAGTACCGTGACCGTCCAGACTCTTCAAACCAATCAGTTCCGGCTGCATCTATTCTGTCGTATGCCGTTTCTCAGATCCAAAAGTCTTATGGTCGTACCCGTTGCAGGAGAGGTGTTGCAGTGCGACACGCTGGAGGATTTGGAGGCTTTGGTGGAGGTGCGACGGAAGTGTCTTCCCGTGCTTTATGACTCTACGATGTTTCGTTAGATCGTGTTTCGCAGTCAGACGGTCTTTACACGAAGTCTTTTGGCAGACAGAAGGGTGACCTTCGCTGCAGGCATCTGATGCAAGGTGTCGGCCCAAGCTACCGAAAATCGGAACGGCAGGCAACGCCTGAATCCTCGCCCCGTCCGACGAAAAATCCAGAGGATTGCAATTGGTCTGATGCCAGCTCGCTGGCAGCACCCTCCCGCGTGTTATCTGCCTACGGATGTCCGCTAGGGTTTAAAGCGCCGAAAGTTGTTGGCATTTTGACAACCATGAGCAAATATCGCGCTCTCCCGACCCTGCGGATCGACATCCCCAACCTGCTGCCGAGGCCTGACGCACATGATGAGTCTGGTGCAGGTAGGATGGCTATCTCACCAGCGGCGCAGCTAGTCAGAGATATGCGCAGTTGAAACTCCGACAGGTTTCTACCCAATCTATGCCATTCCTCGTTTCTGGAAGGCATTCATCTGCTCGCTCATGCGTGTGTGCGTGCGTGCGTGCGTGTGTGTGTGTGTGTGTGAGTGTGTGTTCTTGTCTCCGCTGGGCGCAGTCATCTTTTCTTTCAGGCGCCTGTTGGTTGGTTGATTCAACTTGACGACATCCCAGATCAAAAGGCGATGCGTGGCCGGCTTGGAAAGCTCAACGTCCAAACAGATTGCGTGCGATACCAGTACAATATTCTATCCGTATGTATCTGCCTTCAAAGCTTCGTGCCTTGGTGATTCTCCTGTAGTTTTTTCTGCTTCCATACGATGCATCTGTTGTGCAGCCCTCGTTCAGCAGAAGCTGCCAAGGTGTCGCCTGCCGTGCGCTGGTGCAGCGCCATGTCAGCCTGCGTGCAACTTGCTCAGCTTCCTGGTTTGTGGATGAGGACATTGCGACATTGCCTTTCTATGGACCAGCGTGGTGTGCGGCTGACAAGTCGCTGTCCTTGTAGGATACAGCCCGAGATGCAAAACCGTGAGTGCTGAGTGCAGTATTCAACGGCCGTTTGAAAGCACGAAGTCCAGAAAGGCCTTAAAATTTGAAACACACATTATGTGCTTCGAAAGACGACAAATCCACCCCCGGTGCATTCGGGCAGTGCTTTGAAGATTAACTCTCGCTATGTGGATCTTCGGGTTTCGGCTTCGCGGGCTTCCAAAATCAACGGTGTGTTCGGGTAGTAGGCACACATGCCAACAAGCGGGTCAACCGAAAGGCAAATGCTACATTTGGTGGCTTGAGCCGCAGCATCACCCTAGGTCGAACATGTCCTTCCACAAACTTAGCAGTTTTTGTGGCATTCAGCCTCCAAAGTTAATCTCACTTCGCGGCGTCGCGACGCGCGAATCAAGCTGACGGAGCGGGACGTGCTCTCACCGACAAGCAGGCAAGCGTGTCAAGCGAACGGTTGCATGCACTTACTATGCTCTAGAGAAGCGCTTTTTGATTCATGACTTGTTCGAGCTGAGAAATTACACATCGGTCTGTCGAAGACTACTGAAGATTTAAGAGTTTGTTCGGTTGCGAGTGGCTTTGTGCAGCTGTCTCATCCTATGTAGTATTAGGGAGACCCTTTAGAGGGGACCCTTCTTAACCCTTCTTATGGCTCTCTTTAAGTTGACTGTATTGAGAGGGTTTATATCCCCAAGGGTCCCCCTGATCCTATCACAAGAAATCAAGAAAACACAATGGATCTTCTCTGGTGATAAGGCCGCTCCCTACCGCCTCGCTGGTGATGAGGTCACAGCAAGCATGTGCCGGCCTCCTACGGCGTGCTTTTGGGTTCATGTCGCCATGTCCAGGCAATGCTCATGAGACCTGTAAGACGAAATCCCTCCATGGCTTGATGGAACTAAGTGGATTTCGTGCTTTTGCTATCCGCTTGTTCTCACCTTTTGTATGATGTACCTCGAGTGCAGGATTTGTGCAGAACGCTGGATCGTAGTGGTTCACTGCACTTCGGAAAAGCGTGAACCCTGGTTCTAAACAGACCAGTTGGAGCGTAAGCACCACAAGGGCTTACTGTAAGGCTTCGGCAGCCACGGAAGCCTCTACCACCATGAGATTGGAACGGCTTCCTCGAGTGATGTAATGCTGGTGGTGAGACTTGGTTTTTCGCTTCAACTTCTTTCTCGGTAGAGAAGAAACACTTGCTTGGCCTTTCCACATGCGCGCAAGACTCGAATCGTGTGAGACACCTCGGCTAGCTGCCAGCCAATGCTAGCCACCTCAGCTTATCATGCCTCATCCTCCTACTGCCACCACGGCTGACACGAGTAACGCTAGTACTAATTGGAGTATTACAAGTAGTACGACTTGTCGTACTGGCGCTAGTGGTGGTGGTGCTTGTGTTGGTAGTGGTGGTAGCCTTG